CCACACTGCTTTGAACAACTTTTTTCACAAATCTGAAAATGCCACAAGGCTTTTCCACAAAATCCTCTGACAGCCCACAGAGTTCCATTAATAAATCAACTTATGCTGTGAAATAAAACAAATAAATAATTTTTTTAATATAACTTATAATCACATTTAACAAAATGTATTCTATGACATTGCACTCCAAAGGAGTACTACAACTGTAACTGTAGTGCATAAACTCAGTAGATATAACACACTGCTGCCACAGGGTGGCGATATTACACTGAAACACTTCCTATATGGCGCTGCTAAAAACTAAACCATGCCTTGTTGCTTTATATATACAGTCTATGCTTGTAGCCAGCGCCATATAGACTCTATATGGCGCTGCTTGTAGCGTAATCACTCAAAGGGCTGCAACTAAATACTATTAGGGATTCATTTTACGATTATTTCGCCATTAACATTTTGGTCTATGAATTGTCAGAAAGTACACGATTAAAGAATCAATGTAGGCTATGCGTAAGGCTGCTTAATTTTTTATTATTTTTATGAAATGTCCAAGTCCAAGGCATATATTTAAATATCTTGTTTTGCAGTTCCAAACCAAAATACTTTCACTAAATAGAAATATCGTCACAAGAATATATACATTAAAGAAATATAATACCACACATTGTGAATATTTATAGTTATGATCGTATAACTGGTGCTGTGGAAGCAGAGTGGCGCAGCGGAAGCGTGCTGGGCCCATAACCCAGAGGTCGATGGATCGAAACCATCCTCTGCTAGCTTTTACGGTTTTTCGTGGATTGTGAACAATGTATGGTGCACTGCATACCGCTACCCAGTGTAGATTCAAACAGTTTTTCGTCCCAACAACAAAAGAGGATTGCTGTTTTATCTCAATAGTGTATCAATTGAAAAGTCCCAGTTAAAAACTTAATTTCTGAGTTCGGCGTCACAAGGTCTACGGGAATACATTCAACGTTCGTTTGAAGGTAGCCTTTCTGTGTATGTAAGTAGTAATGTAAAGAAAATAATAAAACGAAATAAAAAGCACAGGAAGGAACTGAACGTCTATACATAGCACTGCCACAAGATGGCACCATTGGACCACAATAAAGTCAACTACCAGCTCTGAATTATCCCTCTAAAAGGAAATAGCAAACAGCTAGGCACCAAGTAACAAAACGAGGTATAGCTATATAACCCACATGTAGGATAGCATGACTTCAACCTGTGGATCCAGTCATTACCAAATTATGGACAATATCCTGGCCAACCTTACAGACTTAAGAGTAAAAAAAAACAGCTATCAATATAATGTGTGCTATATGTCTGTGCCTTTGAATTGTATGTTTTTCCCAAGATGTTTGGTATATAAAAACATTAAGAAATGTAAATGTAAAACAGAGACACAAAGTCTAATAATTTATTTCAAAGTGTTGTTTGTGTTCTAGTCTTAATCTGCCCAGGAACTACACAAATCGGGGACATTAATTCTTCATTCATTTAATACGAAAAATTTAGCAACCTTATTGTATTACAAGACATATCATTATTTACAATAGCGAGGTAGAAATATAACAGTTAGTCAAAATCCACTCGTCTGCTCTTCTTGGTAGCTGATTGGATCTTCTTCTCTTTGAGTCGCTCCTTGTCCCGCCTCGCTAACCTGCACAACATATTTTACATTGAATACATACACTACACACTGATATAAGCAAAGTGGATCAACATTGATTTGCTCTACTGCTGGGTAATACCTGGCTGCCCTGAGAGCTACGTCCTCTGCTGTTGGTTCATGTGGCTTCTCGCTGGCCTCAGCTATGATGGCAGAAATCTTCTGTATGCAATCAGAGAGGTTTCTGTTCTGACTCCTGCTCAGCTCTGAGGTCACCAGCAGCTCCCCAGCCTTATTGATGCGGTTTTTGTTCTGTACCACGATGCAGAAAATGTGTTCAGTTGGTTTAGGGTGACAGGGTGAAACCAGAGTTTCAGAGGTCATTCAAATATTATTGTACTGTTTTTGGTTGACAATGTAATGATCCCTTGGGATAAAATACTTCCACTTAGGTATAAATGTAATATGCATAACATGTAGTTTATTTGTGAACTACAGTAATAGAACAGATTGCAAAACTGTGAACTGCGATCAACAACTCCACAGCCTTTTAAAACAAACCGTTTCAAAGATTTTCCGTCGAACATCCTCTGGGATCCACTCTGCTGTTAGCACATGGAATCGGACCTCAGCCTTTGTGCTGACTGTGGATTGAGATTTGAACACGCCAAGGAATATACTGTTAATGATAGGCAAGATTCAAGGCCTTGTACTAAGTGGCTGGAGTCACTTGTCATATATATTTTAATAATTAAGTAGAACTTTGAGTACCTTTATTTACATTCTGACCACCAGGCCCACTGCTTCTGCTGTAGGATACTTTCAGGCGGTCTGAGAAGAAATAAATTGTTGAACAATACAAAAAGAAAAAAACACTTTCTTATTCTGCTGAGTGAAAATATATTAGTATATTTACCCACTGGAATATGCACTTGGGAATCCTGCCAAATAAAATAAAATAAATGTATTGCTTTAGTGTACATTCAGAACACAATTACAGTGAACTATTAAAGACTTCATAAGGCTATCATGCAGTAGCCTACATTAACAGATTCATGAATTGGGAGGTCATTCCTCATACTTACAGTGTTTTTAAACTAACCTCTGTGGTGTCTGCTCCTCGAGTCCCGTAAGCAACACGCAAATGTAAAGTGTTGTTGATGTCTCTTAATACGACATCCCTCCGTTTTAGATGTTGTGGAATCGTGTTAACTGCTGTACTACGACAGAGAAAATAACAACAACGTCGTGCTATGTGCGCCGCCATGTTGGACTGACTTCATAACAGCAAGTGAACTGGTATTCGTCAATGCAGCCATGCATGTACTTGGATGAGCCAACTGCTGCTAAAGTGCAGTTTTACATGTAGGTATTGCATGCTGCCGAGTAGAAACTACATGTATATATTTATAAAACTAGAAACACACAGTAGTTTCCATCACCTTTTGAGGAGTATGTTCATAACAGAAAATAATCATAAAGCTAGGTTCTACCGAGATTTGAACTCGGATCGCTGGATTCAGAGTCCAGAGTGCTAACCATTACACCATAGAACCACATGTGACGGATTTTCATAGGGATATATAAGAAGACTGGTATTTATTCATGACTAATTGTACAAAAATATATACGTAAGTAGACTATTTTTGAACGATACCTTGAGGACAGTTGTTTGAGGCAAACTAGTCAGTTTATGTTAATCACAGTATTTAGAATAAAAAGCTTAAGTGCAAAGCTAACGTGAAAAGACTGTTACTAGTAGGCTACAGTAATTACTAGAACTATCTCGATATTTTTCGGTGTTCTACTATTCAGTTATTAGTTATTGGGAAAACATTTTTTACTTGGAATATTTTTATTAGGCTACAAATATAAATATATACAAATGTTATTGTACAAATGTCAAACGTTTACAGTTCTGGTACTGACTGCTTAGGGAGATATATTAAATATGCCGATCTGTCGAAATCAATTTAGTAACTTGGAAAAAAAACAAAAAAGTGTTCTACCACATCGGTCAAAAAGTGTCTCTACTGCTTTAAATATTGAGAGGAAAAAATCCCGGAACTATTGTGCGGCGAACTCTGTTGCAATAGGGTAACACCAGCGGACGGACATGGCTTGTATTCCTTTTTCAAAACAAACCATCTTTCTATATTTAGATGCGTTTTACTTACCATTATGTGGTTAGTTGCGAACGTTAGTTATAAGGCATTATCTTGATATATAACTTGCTAAATAATGGTAGTGTTTGCCATTCGGGATTAACGCTAGCTATCATTTTCTAGTAATAGCTTTAGAGTATTTTTAGCTAATGCATGATAGCTAACGTCACGCAACGATAACGATCCTGCTAGCTGTCGGTAACCGCTTAACCGCATTACTAGCATTATCTAATGTCATTGGGCTATATGTTGTAAGGTTGCCAAACACAGCACAGTATCCGACGTCAACATTTTACAGTGGACGACGTTAACTTAGGATACAATTGTTAACGTTAGCGGGCATCTGCTCAAATACTCATCTTAACGTTAGCTTGTAGCGAGCTTTTGACGGATATCTCCTTTTGGCTGGTTAAGCAACATGGGAAAGTGACGTTATGATGTGACAACAAAGGGCAACGCTTGATGATCAGCGTGTGTCATGCATGACTTGTATTGCTCAAGAGATTCATACCCACATAAAGAGTGGTGAGAAGGTCAGTTAACATCACAGGGATATTTTGCCTTGTATAGCTGCAAAATGCCTGGAATGGTGGTGTTTGGTCGGCGGTGGGGGATCGCCAGCGATGACCTGGTTTTCCCCGGATCCTTTGAGCTGTTCGTCCGTGTACTTTGGTAAGTTGTCTCCTCCTGACGTCGAAGTAGTCAGACATAATAATAATAACATGCATTGACCCTGCTATCTTTCATTCTCTGCTGCTATTCTTTCTCTCCTTAGGTGGATTGGCACCATGATCCTGTTCACCTATCACAAGGGTAACTTTGATTGTAACGGTGGAGGAGTTCTCCACACCTTTCTGGTTGGACTCATGGTTGTGCTGGCGCTCATCATCCTGTCACTTTGTGCTACTGTTTATGTCAGTGCCCAAGGTAAATCAATTTGTATTTATTTTCCTCCTTAAAATGAAATGAGCTTTAACTATATAGATCAGAAACAAGATCAACATTATTGTAGTGGCAGAAATCACAGGAACTCAACACTTTCACATAGTTTTGCATTCAGTAGAGTTGAGATAAAAACGTTTTTTCTGGCACACAGTTTCTGCGCTACACAACGAAAAGTATATTAATCAGATGGGAAAGAATGTAAAAGTGTCATTCTTTTTAATCCACACATAAGAGCCATCCTTGATATTAAACTGATATAGACTTGCAAAAGGCTTAACTGTCAGATAGTACAACTGTTGAAATAAAGGAAGGAGCCACCTCTGCCTCCTGTTGAAACCTTAATGGGACAGATGATTGGTTTACTGTCACCCTTTGCAACATCATAATCCCTCTGTGTTGCAGATCAGTAAAAGGGACATGTTCAAAGTCCAGATGCATCTCCTTTTGTTGACAACACAGATATCTATGATTGTTTCCAAGGTACCATTACAAACCCTGGCCCACGGCGCTCCATCCCTGCTCTGATTTACCTGCGTGCGATCCTGTACATCCCTGAGCTGGTGTGGGCCTGTCTGGGAGCCATGTGGGTGTCTGAAGACAGCAAAGGCTGCGATCCAGCCACAGTGGGGGCTGTCATCTCAGCAGTGATAGCCAGGTAGGTGGTTTAGAGCAGTGGTTCTCAACTGGTCAGGCCTCGCGACCCAAAAGTGGGTCGCGACCCACCAGTTGAGAACCACTGGTTTAGGGTTACGATTTCAAAGATTAATTGTTTAATAGTTCGCAGAGGTGTTTTGATTCAGCCTCTTTCAGGGTTCTTTGAACTTGATACAGCGGTGATTTGTCCTCATATTAAAAACAAACAAAACAAACTTTGAAAACAATATAAAAGTACAATACAAATGGCATTCGTGCCCCACGGTAAAAAACATTTGCCTTTTCGGTGCCCAAATCCCCACTCCACCTGTCTGCAATAAATACCGCTATCACCCCACCCAAATCAGCTGAAGCTATCTTCAAAACAAAAGCATCAAACTAAATATGTAACATATATATAATGACACTTAATAATGATAAAATGACTCTATACAAAACAGCAAGAACATAAATGGTAGATAATACAAAACAATTATTATCTCAAACAGTTGATATAATATTTTATTTGAACCTTTATGATTTTAGAATATGTTTAACTCCGAATATACTCCTTGAACAATTTCAACATAATCTGGTGTTTCATCGACACTCATGTAAAGCAAACATCTTTTAATATTTCAAATAAAACCTGTTGACATATTGGTTTGTAATTTCCTTGCACCTCACACCAGACATGGAGCGGGTTGGAGCTAGCTAGACATTAAATAATCGGGGGGGGAGTGTGTGGTAGAGAAACCCCCAATGGAGGGAACTTTGGTATTTGATCCTTTGCACACAATTTTTGAATAGTACAAAAAGTTACAACATACATTGATGGCTGTGTGTACATTTATTATGTTACCTTAATTTTCTCAGCCACATTTAAAGTTGCAAAATAGATGTGATGATAAGGGATTTGGTTAAGGTATCTTGAAAGTGCTTGAAATGTTCTTGCCTATACTTTAATAACCTGTATGAACTTTATTTCCTGTGTCACAGCTGGATCATCCTGCTGTTCACCGGGTTGGGCGTTGTGTTTGTGTTTGACCCGCTGGGAAACCCCCATCCTCAGCACTCTGCCATGGAGCCTCTGGGAGTCAGAGACCAGCAGAGCACCGAGGGCACGCAGTTCCTGTCCACCGCTCGCTCCTTGGCCGTCAAGGTGTGGGAGAGCCGGCTGAGGCTGCTCTGCTGCTGCCTGCCGCAGGACGAGAGCCACCGGGCGGCCTTCTCCAGCATCGCACAGCTCGTCGGGGGGTTCTTCTCCGTAAGACACAGCTTCTCCCTCTTGTCTGTCCTTGTCCTCGTCTTCAAATCTGGGTTCACATGTAAAAACATATTGAGTATACTCTAAGACAGGGGTTCCCAAAGTGGGGGTCGCGAGACCCCAAGTGGGGGTCGTGAGATGATTACAAAATAAAAATGGAAAATTTTAAAAAAGTATTATAAAAAAAAATTGATTGATTTTTTAATTTTTTTAAAAAAATTATTATTAATAATAACGTTTGCATAGACATTTTTTTCTTTGACAATCCACTAGCGCAGTGTTTCTCAAACCTTTTCTTTTGTTTTTTAAATTAATTCACTAGCACCCCCCCTCACATTTATATCTTTCCTAAGCCATGCTGGTACTTTGAATACTTAATCAGTTAGCAGCAGAAAACCTGCTTTGCTTTCATCAATGCTGTGTTTGTGACCAATCTATATAGCTAGCGGCATTGGTTGGCATGCACATCTCCCATAAACCAGCAAACATGTCTTTTCTCTTCTGCTTAAAGGGGACCTATCATGCAAAATGCACTTTTGTACGTCTTTTATACATGAATATGTGTCCCTGGTGTGTCAGCGAACTCACCCAGTGTCAGAAAACACAACCCTCTCTCTTTTCCTCCATACCCAAATCTCTAAAAACGGGGCTGGAACGGATCTGATACAGACTGATCCAGATTTGAAAATAGTCTGACGTCAAGAACGAGGAGCTCCGCCTATATGGGCAACTATCCACCTATCAGGGGAATGAGAGGTTGCCGTGGCATGGTAACAGCATGGTAACAGCATGGTAACATTACGCTCGTAAAGCTGCGGCCCCTCCCTGTGCGAGGCGGGGCGTGGTCCGCTGCAGCGCATGCAAAACAGGTGGAGGAGAGGAAAATAGAGCAAAATGAGGCATGGCTAAAATGCATGATCTCTTTGGTATTTTGAAAAAGAAAATGTATAAATATACCTTATATATTATATTATTATATTATTATTATTATATTATTACTATATATTATTCAAATATAGCATGATAGGTCTCCTTTAAGAAACTCTTAAGCCTCTTCAAAGCCCTCCTCCCTAGTCCTAATAGTTCTAAACCGGAGCTCTCTTAAGATGCTTTGTGAATACCTTAACCAGGATGTTGTCTTAACTCAAAGGGAAAATCCTTAGAAAACCTGGTAATATTGCATGTAATTTGTTAGACGCTTTTATCCAAAGCAACTTACATACATTCCGTACTGTGGACAATCCCCACAGGAGCTATTTGGGGTGAAGTGTCTTGCCCAGGAACACAACGACATGCTGACTGCAGTGGGACTCGAACTTGCGACCCCCTGATTTGAAGTCCAGCACACTACCCACTGAGCCACAGCCTCCCTCCCTAATATGTATCATTTTCTCAACATTTAATAATTTGGAGCAACTCTTTTTACTATAAGCTTTATGAATGTGGCCCCTGGAAGTTAGAGGGTTTGAGGCAAACTGCGTCAAGTCAGATGACATATTAGAATACCACAAGAAAGACTAAAGCTGGCTATGGTGTGATGTAGCTACAAAACCAATAGTGAGATGTGTGTGTGTGTGTGTGTGTGTGTGTGTGTGTGTGTGTGTGTGTGTGTGTGTGTGTGTGTGTGTGTGTGTGTGTGTGTGTGTGTGTGACAGGACACAGACCTGGTCCCCAGTGACATCGCAGCTGGTCTGGCTCTGCTGCACCAGGAGCAGGATAAGATGGAGCAGAGCAGAGACCCAGACATCATGGTGGATCACAGCCCCTCGTCTCCCATCGTAAGTCTGACCCTCGTGTCGTCACAGTAGCACAAGGAGCAGGACACACTATTTGTTTCAGTCATGCAAGTCTTTTAAAATAATGTTCTTATTGACGATCGTTTATTCTTCATAGGGAGAGGATTTGGAGACAGAGCTGGAGAAAGCAGCTCACTGTATGCAGTTTGCTGCTGCTGCCTATGGCTGGCCCATGTACATTTACTCCAATCCCCTCACCGGGCCCTGCAAACTCAGTGGAGACTGGTAAGATTGAGACTTTACTTATCGGAGTCAGTGGGACCTGTCAGAGAAGTCACATGGGTAGCCAGGTGAGGTTAAAGGACAATTGTGTCGCTGTCAGGCCTTCAGACTCAGAGTTGGTTTGTTCCTCTCTGGGCTACTGTACTTGCATGCTGGTGCAAAAGAAAGAAGAAGTAGATTCAAAGGAATGATTGTAATGCTGAAAGAAAACATCCAATCAGTGTGATGCAATGGCAAGACAGCAGAACACGCGTTAATATAATTTGCCATGGTGATGTTTCATTGTTTAAAAATAATGGATATATCAAAAAATGTGATTACTCTTTATAGCATATAGCTTCTTGTAATATCATGGAAGTATTCCAAGCACTGATCTTTGGGGTGTTGCATACAAATGCAAAAGCTTCCTGTTCCCTCTTGTTTTTTCCTCAGCTTAGTGGGCTACCTAACTTCAGGTTGTAAATTCCATTGCAGAGTACGGCGGAAAGTTTAAATATTTAATAATTTGAAAGACAATCTTATCTATATTTAACGATGCTGGTATTTTATGACTGCCTCACCTCATTGCTGCTTTCCTTCATTAAAGCAGAAGCTATACATCAATGAAAATATAGTTCTAAAGTCCTTACACTATTCTGATGATAGAGAAAAAAAAGGAACTGAAATCTAAAGCCCAATATTCTCCTAGGTGTTGACCTCTAGATTTCAGAGTCAGAGAAAAGACCTATATCTTTTGACCACATTGAGATTAAAAGTGTGTGTGTGTGTGTGTGTGTGTGTGTGTGTGTGTGTGTGTGTGTGTGTGTGTGTGTGTGTGTGTGTGTGTGTGTGTGTGTGTGTGATCAGCTGTAGAAGCCGTGAGGCTGAGTATGACATTGTTGGAGGAGACCACCTCGGCTGCCACTTCTCCTCCATCCTGCAGAGCACAGGTCTACAGTACAGAGACTTCATCTACGTCAGCTTCCACAACCAGGTACAGATCTCACATGTTCCCCTGTCAGACATACTCCTGTGTGTTCATAGTTTCCCTCAGATGGATTGTTTTAGGTCATCAACTCCTATCCAACAGTCTCAGCGATGTAACGTCATCTGAATTGTCTTTGTTGCAGATCTATGAGATCCCTTTTTATGTAGCCCTGGATCACAAGAGAGAGGCTGTTCTGGTGGCTGTCAGAGGAACTCTGTCTCTGAAGGTGAGTTTGGACTCCCAAATCCTACATATGTTGGTCAATTATAGACAAAGAAAAAATCATTAGTGGTTCAGCTGCTTGCTAATATATTAGATTGTTATTTCTCCCGGTTTCATTCTTGTGTTTCCTGTTACACACATAGTGTTGGTCCTGGTTGGTTTTCATTTTCTCCTTTTCAATTTGTTATTTAAAATTTGCAAATAATATAATCTACTACATTAAATATGACATGCCGAACAATGAACTAGTTTCTGTCCATGTGTGTACATGAATAAAGTAATGCGATTTTTGTTTTGTTTTTTACCCTCCCATTTCCCGTTAATTTACAGAATGACTTCCTCATTTGTACCCCAGATGGTGTTGTAGGTGATAGAGGAGTGTTAAAGGCCACAGCTACATATACTGTAGGTGATAGTTGGTCTATTTTTGATGGCATGTAATAGTTCCTCTAAAAAATAAAACCAGATGACACACTTGTATGAGAGTGTTAACACATGTCTACACACCTTCACATTGGAAGTCAGAGACAGAATTATTGTGATGATTTGGTTGGGGAATATTATAGTCTCTCTGCTTGTGTTCGTCCACAAGACTTAAACATTCATTCTTAATAAAGCTTTAAATCAAGCATTTAATTCCTTTCCCAGAGTCTTCAACATTGAATGATGCCTTTAGCATGGGGTCTGAGACCAATATCTTGCTCATTTCACTCTGTCTGTCCTGCAGGATGTGCTGACAGACCTGTCTGCTGAATGTGAGAACCTGCCTATAGAGGGAGTGCTGGGATCCTGCTACGCTCACAAGGTGAACGACATTTAAACACGCCACCTTTCAAAAGCTTTTAATGTGTTTTAAACACAAACTGACAGAGTTGAGATTACCCACTTTTAGTACTGATGTTCTGATGACTGATAATAGATTTTAAATGAAAAATAAATTAAGAAATTATAATTTGGTTTTAGCAGTAAATCTTCTGTCCCCTTTAATTATGTACGAGAACATTTTAAAGTATTAGGCACTATTGTTGAAAGCAAACTGAGATGCAACGCTATCACCAATGCTAGGTTTGCCAAGGCTCAACCACGTGTCTTAGGGAAACCTAGAAGCCTTAATGTTGACAGAACTGTGCTAGCATTATTTATAAGAACTCCATCCAGGGTATAAATGCAGACTAAAAGGGACCACAAGATCTTTGTCCCACACAGTATTCAGCATTTAGCTCTGATCTTAAATTTGCACTTGGGTCTTCATTGATTTCCCAAAGGATGCTAGTATGCTGTAGTATAATACGTTGTCATGCATGGTTGTTACTGTTATTTTTATATAATTGTATGCTCTTTTTGCAAATCGAATTCTCCTAGAAGCACTAAAGGTTTCATTTATTCAGTTCAGTAGAGATTAATGCTGCTGTGTTCCCTGCAGGGCATGTGTCAAGCGGCAGGCTACATCTACAAGAAGCTGGTCAACGATGGCATCCTAAACCAGGCTTTCACCATAGCACCGGTAAGAAGGGGATTTCAGTTTGGGAGCTACATTTCAGCCACAGAATGCATCATTACTTTCCCTTCTGCCAATCGTATCTGGAGGGAATGAGATTTCATTTTTAAGAAAAACAACATTGATTTCTACACAGTTCTCCATATCCATTCCATTTATTGTAATCCTATAAGTGTTTCCTTTCTCCTTGTAGGAGTACAAGCTGGTCATCACAGGTCACAGTCTGGGTGCTGGCACAGCGTCTCTGCTGGCTATCCTCTTGCGCAATTCCTTCCCCACCCTGCAGTGCTACTCATTCTCTCCACCAGGGGGCCTGCTAAGGTAAGGAAAACTATTCAGTAACCATGGCAGCAACAGTTTGGCAAACAGATGACAGCCCATAAAACTGGGATGGTCCCCTGGCTTTGAAGGGTTACTCAATTCTGAGTCATTAGTTACATATTTCTTATAAAAGAAGATTATGATGTCTTTTTTTCCCTTGACATGTATTATATAGATAAAAGAATGATCACATGATTGATGTGAAAAGTTTTAACTTTTAAACTATCAGTGAAGTTTCAGTCCTTGTTTTTTGACTTTGGTTGTATTGGTCTGACTTAGATATGGCTGTTTGTCACATAGAGAACACTCAGCTGTTAAAAATGTTACTAATGTAATGCTTTTTCTGTTCTGTGTTTCTATGTATGCAGCAAAGCCTTAGCTGATTACTCCAAGGACTTTGTGGTGTCCGTTGTGCTGGGAAAGGATCTGGTTCCCAGGTAACTAATGGCTATTATTTACTTCTTAGCCTTAAGAACATATTGTTTAATCAAAGTTTCATTTATAACATATAAAACATATATTTTGATACTGGTTAGATCGTTGTAGCTGTTTGGTTTAGACATTATTTCCAGTGGATCCCTGAAGGTAAATATATGTTTGTGTGTCAGCAGCACTGCAGACACTTGTTTTCCAAAAGCCAATTTGAATGTGTGGTGATGACTATTATAGAGCACTGTGTCACAGAGTGGCTCTGCCCTGTTGTTAGAGGCACAGAGCAACTTACATGCTACTTATTTAAAATAAATGTTCTATGTTTGTCTGTTCTTCTGGACCATTCTCAGAAACTCCTGGATGGAATTTATTTTATTTTGGCACAAAATCCACTTGTACATAACGATAAACTGATTAGATAGAACTTGTCAAAAGTCAATATCTCTTTGGCCATAAAAACAAACACATTCTCAACCATAACTCAATCATTGATGTGATAATTGGGTCTGAGTCCGACCCTTGTCAATTAACTACAGGGGTCCCTCAGGGCTCTGTTCTCGGTCCCCTCCTCTTCTCCTTGTACACAAACTCGCTCGGATCAGTCATTAGCCTGCATGGTTTTTCATATCACTGCTGACGACACCCAATTAATTCTGTCCTTTCCCCGCTCAGAGACCCAGATCGTCGCACACATCTCTGCTTGCCTAGCTGACATCTCTCAGTGGATGTCTGCTCACCCACTCAAGCTAAACCTTGACAAAGACTGAGCTGCTTCCTTTCCTTCCGGGAAAAGATTGTCCCACTCTTGACCTAACAATCAACATCGGCACCTCTATCGTTTCCCCGACTCAGACTGCAAGGAATCTGTGTGTGACCCTAGATAACAAACTGTCCTTCACTGCAAACATTGCTGCTAAAACCCGCTGCTGCAGATACACGCTTTACAACATCAGGAGGATACGTCCCCAGCTGACCCAGAAAACAACGCAGGTTCTGGTCCAGGCTCTCGTCATCTCACGCCTAGACTACTGCAACTCCCTCCTGGCTGGTCTACCTGTGCCATCAGACCTCTGCAGCTCATCCAGAATGCAGCGGCTCGTCTGGTCTTCAACCTTCCTAAATGCTCCCACACCACGCCGCTCCTCCGCTCCCTTCACTGGCTCCCAGTAACTGCTAGAATCCTCTTCAAGACAATAGCACTTGCGTACCATGCTGTGAATGGATCTGGCCCTTCCTACATCCAGGACATGGTTAAACTGTACACCCCAGCGCGTGCACTTCGCTCTGCATCAGCCAAACAGCTCGCTGCACCCGCACTGCGAGGGGGACCCAAGTTCCCATCAGCAAAAACACGTGGGTTTGCTATCCTGGCTCCAAAATGGTGGAATGAGCTCCCCATTGACATCAGGACAGCAGAAAGCTTACACATCTTCCGGCACAGACTGAAAACTCATCTCTTTCGACTCCACTTCGAGCGATATAATTATCTAACAAAGCACTTATATACTAATAAAGGACTGGCTTATCTAAAGCCAGTTGAGTAGCACTTGAAATGTTTGGCTCTATGAAACCTGATGTACTTATATGATTCTGTTTTCTTCAAGGTTGTATCTTCCTGCTCGAATGTACTTATTGTAAGTCGCTTTGAATAAAAGCGTCAGCTAAATTCAATGTAATGTAATAATTGAGACATACATGCATAAGGCGGTAGTTCTAGTTGTTGATACTGTTTTTCCTTTGCAATATTCCCATTCTTTTTTAATCATTGTTCTTTTTGTACAGATTGAGCCTTCCCAATATGGAGGACCTGAAGAGAAAGATTCTTAAAGTAGTTTCAAACTGCAATAAGCCCAAGGTAAGAACCATTCAAAGCCATGAATTGAGTGCTAAATGTCTCGTAGGTCAGGTCAGTCTTTTAACATCTTTTCTGTGTGTTTCAGTACCGCATCCTGCTGCAGGGGTGTTGGTACGAGGTCTTTGGAGGAGACCCTGATGACTTCCCCACTGAGATGGACAACAGGAGGGAGGAGGAGCTTAGCCAGCCTCTGTTGGGGGAGGAGTCACTGATGATTCGCCACTCATCATCCTATCAGAGCCTGGCGTCGGACGAGTCCCCTGCTCATACTGCTACCCACTTACCTCTCTTCCTGCCTGGACGCATTCTGTACATCACAGAAGATGGGCCGTCACGGAGGTTTGTCTACAAATATTTGTAATCTCTGACTTCCCCAGATCTAACCTAAGCAGAGTGGTGCAGGGATGACATCTTTTTGTAGGCCAACCCCTAAAGTTAACTGGTTCTCTTTAGAAGGAGCGCATAGGATTTTTAAATAGTAATTAGTAATAGTAATTTTTTGCCTGATTGGCCATCGTAATCGGGCTCTTTGAAGATCCAAAAATCCACGGTTTTCCAAAAATTCTCATCGGATTGGCAAAAACTACAGAATTTGTATTTACCGCCATTCAATTGAAAGTGTTGTTTTTCCCCAAAAAGTGGGCGGGGCCGTCATTTTCACCCGGAAGTGACGTAGGTGTTACTCTCACCGCTGCTTTCAGTAGACACATCAACACATCTTTTTAACTGCATTCATCTTTCTTCTGCTGACTCTGCATATTTCAGTTCTTAAGTTCAGTTCCAGTGTTTCTGCCATACCAGGGCTGCCATACCAGGGCTGAGAGGGCGTCCACCCCGAGAGCGGGGGGGGGTGCTTGAATTTTGACTTGAGCCGTCCCTTATAGATACTGTCTTTTTACGTTAGTGAGCCGGATAATTTGGCTCGGCTCTCTTAAAGCGCCGGCTGTTTCGGCTCCCAAACGGCTCTTCATGTTACCACAGTTTACCACGGAGCCTCATTTTCTCTGCTGCGAGGCTCTGGTGCTCGCAGCTCACGCGCGTGCTCCACTAGCACCACGTCCAAATCGTGCACGTTCCGTGTTGTCCTGTGGCAGGCACCGCCGATGTCGGGGAAACGATCTTCAATACTCCGAAAATAATCCCAACAGAGGGATGTCCTTTTTCCTTTTCGTCATTTCAAGCGATAAAAACTCTCGATCTTCTCTCAAATTATTAATATTTTTGGACGCCCTCGGCTC